CCCCGCAGGCAGCCTGGACGGACTTGTAGAATATGTTGATAAAATGGAGTCGATAAAGTCAAGAGAGACCGAAATGGCTATTTCTGGTTTGTTAGCCATCGTCAGCCAGACTTGTCTGCCAGTGTGACTGACAGATGACGCCTTATAAGCCAGGTATGGCCATTCCGGTTTCCCTTTACTTTGTTGGTTCGCTTTACCCAGATGAAAACTTGTAATGAAACCTAATATGATTCTCAAGAAATCCTTCAAACCTTTAATTATTTCCTATATTTCAGATTTCTACGAATCCCAGTGCTCAATTTTTGAAATGGAGTACTCTCAACTAGGGAATCTGTAATGGAATTCTGTGATGTCGAAGGTGAAGGGGCTGATGAAGACATACGTGTATTTTATCGGCAGAAAGTATGGCAACATCAATTTAGAAGGCCAACATTGTTCCGGTCGACCAACAAAACTGGACAATGAGGAATAGTTTTCAACACTTGAACATGAGTTGTAATTGAGCAGTCCTACTACGTGGGCATTAATTGAATTCGATCACAAAACGGTCTTGAAATCTTTTACTTGGACCTAATACAATTAAAAATTGAGGCCCACGTTCGCATCCCATAAACCTGTATATATAGAGAAGGAATTAATGAAAACGTTTGCGTTCCAGGTATTTGCATGAATGAGGAAGAAGGGTTGTTGAGCTCCTGATTAGTTTGTTTAGTGTTCTGAGCTTTCGGGCGAGGGTCCATCGTCAGAGATAAATGGGTCCACGAAAAACTAGCAACAGTCATAGGGAACAGGAACCAATCAACAATTATACGGGGGGAAGGAAGGGGGAGGGAACTCATTATTCATCAGTGTTGGCCGTGGGTGTGTGCCTGCCGAGGGCGATGTATGCCGGCGCCAGATCGATAGATCGATTGAGCGAATTCTCATCCGAGGCCCAGGCTTCAATCTTTGCAGCTGTGAAGTTAAACTCGTGACCCGTGTCGTAGGTGTTGGCCGCCACTTGCGAAAATGCGTCACCCCGTCTGACAGCCAGCTTATGTTCGTGTATGCGCAAACCGATAATGCGTTCGAATTGCCCTGTATAGTTACAAGGACAGGTTAAGCATGGGATGCGATGCACTACACCGGATTGTTAAGTGAGGTTCATCTGGTCTGCTTTATTCATTATCGAGTTGCACATGGGAGCCCTGGGAAGGTATGCAATTCCGACGCCTAGTCTTGCAGTGATGTGGTGGCAGACCATACCATATCCTCGGTGGTTCTTCTGTTTTGGTCCTCCGGGGCCGTACGCGTGGGCATCGGTTTATAAATGCTTTCGGATAGATATTCCACACGAACTGGTCGCGGAGGTATCGGGCCTCGCGTACCTTTTCCTCCGGCCTACTGCAGTAATTCCGAATCCGTTTAAAGGAAATTTTTACACAGCTTCGTTTGTGGACAACTGGATGGTTGATGTGAAAACTCAGAAGTTGTGCTGTGTTCGTTGCCTTCGTGTAAACCATCGTCGTGCCGTTGACGACGCTTTTATTATCATTGAGAAAAACCTGCTTCAAAACTTCCTCATATTCAATTCATCAAAGGAAGAAGAACAAGAACAGCAGCTGCTTTACCTTGGTGCCCGCGTCAAGGAAACGTCCAAGCGTTTAAAAGAGACGACGGTTTCTAGAAGGGCAATGAACGCAACATACACTCTTAGTTTTCACGGAACGTTTCCGATTATCCAAAACCGAGGCTGTGGAAAAATGCACTTTAAATGGATTAAGACTCGCTGCACTAGGCCGGAGAAAAATGCATGCGAGGCCCGAACAAATAGACTACTGGGAGAGTACGTGAAAAAACATACCTGTCTGGCTGAGTAAGGTGAAATTATATCGAGTCTGCGTTCTATTCTCGCACACCTTGTCGATACCAATCATCTAGGTGATCCTAAAAATACTTCCGATTAGTTTAACAGACACCAACAATCTTCTCGCAGGGTATGCGCCAAAGGGTGCTAGCGATAGCCCAAGCGGTGGCTATTCGGCTGGTGGATCAACTATTGTCGTTAGAACACGCTGATACAGCTGCGCTCTCTTCCGTGGCCAACGCTGACGCCACATATCGCTGATATGTCGCTCCCATCTCCCGGTGACATTAGGTTACTCAGTTACAGTAATGCTAACTCCGTTTATCGGACCCGTGAGCGATACTTACAACCTAACCTACTTTCCTGTCTTTCCCGGTCAACTGACCTCTATATGCCGACCTCGGCATGCGACCAGTGTAAGAACTATGATTTTTAATTATAAGACATTTATAAACCTGTAAAAATTTCCTTTTTCAATATCAGTGCAAGTATACAGACACGATGGTGAATTGCCGAGAATATATGGTTGCCAAATAGACTTTTCAAGTTAAACATGAAACCTTTTGCAGAAATAAAACAGTCCAAAGATCTCTGAATGTTCAAGGAAATAAATGGATTCCTGAAGCTTCGCATCGGGACTTGATTATTCGGGTGAAAATCCGATGAATTACTGAAAAACCTTACGACGAAACCATATCGCCTTTCGTCAGCTAAACTAAGACGTCATGCAGAATGTTACCTTAAGACGGTTACCGCCGGGATTCAAAAAAGTTCCGTGGAACATGCACCAAAGGGCAGAGGTCTTCAGTCTTAAAAATTCCAAAGATTTTCGTTTAAAGACTATGTAAAACACTCAGAAATAAAATAAAGTTGGGTCAGGTTAACTAAACTCCTACGAAGAATCCAAACAATAAAGGCAGAAAGGGCCCTCCCAAACCATCCAAAACGGCATGTATATAATTATTATTCAATGTATATTGATAAAATCTCTTAGATATGCTATCCCGCGACCTTAGGGTTTGCATCGCATGGTGCATACCAAAGTAATTACAGTTAGAAATCGAATTTTAGAGCCTCTTTAGGCATACTGTCGTTATAAAACACATGTAACCTAAAGAACTTTATAATCTTAGGCGATTCTCTTTAACTGCTGCAAAAGTATTTAAGAATAGATCCAAGAAAAAAAGGTCCCTTAACAAGATTTCATCTTGATAGCGTAACAGAAATTTGCAACGGATTTGAATAAGTTCACGATCAGTGATTTCTTAACGCTCATCGTCTGGCACACTTTTTGCTTAGAAAAGACCTAATTTTAGACTTTACCTTCACGCATATAAACTTCAACTTGCTCACACTCTCCACCTATCAGTCCGGTACACTTTTAATAGACGTCGACACAAGAAACTTGCAGCGAAATGAATTTCGAGTGATACATGTATATCACTCTCACACATCGTTCTTAGAAAAGCGCAAATGGTTTCTCAAGTACACAAAGTTGTATGCCCTTTAGCTTTTATGACTTAGACTAGGCTGGTTATAAAATACATTTTTTGTTGCCAGTAATTTATTCGGCTTGTTTATGTTGGGGATTTCATTTTGATGTATAGGTCTAATAGAAGCATTTCGAGTAACTTATTAAATACTTATTTATTGAATAAATTTATTCGACTATCTCGCAACTAAATTGGCTTTCCTCTCATGAAGGGATGTCATACGTTGGATTCAATTCAATGACAAACTTTTCAGCTATATCGTTTTAAATGAGCATAACGTTTGTATTTTAGGAAAATCTGCCTTTCCACCATCGAATTCCTTGGGCGTGTTCAAGTCGACTGAATAGATGAGGTTTATTGATGGCGTATCACTCGTCTCATCCTTTCCAGGTGGGATACCGAATGTGAATTTCTACCGCAGAGTTACGCCAACAAGTCCTTGAAATCCAGAGACCTGCTGCACTTTTTGCACCAGTGCATTACAACGCAGAGGTTAACGACAGTATTAACTTTGATTGCTCACGTAGAGCAGTAGATTGCGTAAGCCAGTAAATGTCAAGATCAACATTTCAGGGTGTGGCTTCACACACATATGAGATTGTTTATTTTGTTTATTGATTTGATTTGAGACTGAAAATTATGTTTACTGGCGAACAACGTAATTTAGTTTAGTGTACGGAAGAAAAACTAAGAATCTGGGAATATCAAACGTACTTCAATCTCCAAGGAATTCTGTACACTATTTAGCCCTACTGATCATAATATTTCGTTTGTATTTGTTACTCTGTAAAGTACCATTAATATAAATGAGAAACCTTTTTATCCTACGCCTACAGATAATGCAAAAAATTGTTTTTCCTTCAAGAATGAGGAAGTGAATGGTTCTCGGAAGAAATAAAAGCCGACTCACTCTTAAATCTTCAGTTTTGTAAATATGTTAAATTATGTGCATAAAACACAGTTATAAGCTCGTTAGGCTGCATTTTCTCTGAACAAAATTATAATAAGCAACGGAAACAAGCATATTTATGAACACCCGCAAAAGTTAGTCCGTTCCCTACGTCATTCTATGCGCCAAAGTTCTCGAAACCCTTTCTATCTGCAGTTGAGTATGAACGAATACGGAAACTTGCAGCAGCCGCATGAGCCTTCAACATGTGTGTCCAATATACTTAAGCATATTCTGCGGTAAGCTATTAATGACAAACCTCTGCCCAGAAATAAGCAGGGTGATCAAAATTGCTTACAAGTAAGCAAGAGTTTTTTATTTTATCTCTTTGGACCCTAAAGATGTATCATTATATGTCCACTTAGACTATTCACGAGGAATCTCTCCTGACGTTCTTTATGAAGAATTAATAAAATGTAACTGAACTAGAAAACCTATAAGTAAACGTTTTTTTTATTTGCTATGGAGTACATTTGCTACAGCCCCTTATTCTGGAAGAGCATCTACGTTTCCCATGAAGTCTTATTTTCAGATAAATTTGCGATTTCGATTGATGTGACCATATCCGGAACGAAATTTGTAAATGAACACACTGCGCCAGTGAGCACATTCAAGAACTGTCAATCCTTAATGGATTGAATGGCTAGTTAAATCAGAGAGCGGCCAGTTTGGCGAGCAAATATGAACAGCATTATTGGCAGGTTGTTCCTTCAAACCCTTACTGATGCCCTCGGTAATAACGGTATTTAGATGCACCAAATGAACACGATAATTTTGCAGGATAATGCTTTAGTGCATCGCTATTCACATGCATGAATTTGATAATGTTTACGACTGCAGTCAGACGCTTTTAGATAAAAGCCAGCCTCTTCGTATGCCGTCTACAAATTACTTTTATTCCTGTCAACATCTCAAAATCTCAAGCTTTTTGAAAATCTTTTGCAATTATCATGACAAATGACAAAGGCAATAGACGTAAAGCCTCATTTTTTGATTAAATAATTACGCTGAACAAAACACTATAGACAATTTGTTTATCTCTATTTCTGAAAAGCTAATGCTGTTTAAGATGTGCACCCAGTCTACAAAGTACTGATTTGCTATAATTCTGTATTAATCTACCGTTTTTTACGCTACACGTTTATATTTAACCTAAGATTAATGCTTTTAATATAGACATTATTTGAAATTCTATTTTTTTAATTAAACCTAACTATTAAAATATATTAGGACATAGGAATTTAATAAACAAGATTTACTTTCTTTTGAAGCGCGAACTGATTTTTCGCAATATAAATTTTATGACTTATCTCATTAGCTTATATCGGGAAGGCAATCGATTGTACGGCAACGGAGAAAACACATTATATGGACGCAGTGGATTTACAAGACTTTGGATAATGTGTCTCCCCACAGGTCCATGATTGAGGAATTCTCTAAGTAATAGAAATGTTATGACGCCAAAGTTTACGGAGGAGTACTTTCTCTCCTGACCTTACCTTAAAAATGACCCTAACTCAAACTGAACTTTAAATCTTTACTCCTACATCAATATCACCCTGTCTTAAGCCTAAGCGAACAACACTCCCAATCTTAATCTAACGCCAACCTTAACCCTAATGATATCTTTCCGGTAATGTGTGTTGCATCGTCACTGGCACTATAGAGCGCTCCTTGCACACTGCTGCCCTGCCTGTAGTCACATTGCCGATCTTTGCCCTTTCATTATTGACAAAACTATTTAACCTGGGCATTTTTATAAGCTTCACTGAATCCAATTGCCCAGAATATCATATTTCCGACGGAAAGCGGAATCAATTTACCTATTTTATTTTCCTTAAAGCTTCTTGTTCTCGTCGAGATGCAGTTGGAGAACTGCAAATTTAAGTATACTGTAAACCGTTAGCACGAGGTAGATGCTTCATTTCAACAAAAGTCACTGTCTTATTCTCACAGCCTCGCACACACACGCACAATAGAGTATAATAGCTGAGTATAATAGCTGCCAAAAGTGCCCTGGGGCTCATAAATCTTTTGAGGAACCAATTCAAACGCAAGCTCTAAAATAGTATTTGCTGATGGTGGTCGGAGCTGTGGCGGAAACTTTATGAGCAGGTGACGTAATATCTACTGACTCAATCATTTCTCTCGAGAAAATCATGCTTTGATGTTGTAACCCACCCTACTAACAGCCCTGGTATTTTATAAAAGGTCTAACACCTGTTTCCCCGGTGTTTTGTCGTTTCATCGCAGAGCTGCAAACGCCCCGGC